CCCCAAAACCCCAAAACCCCAAAACCCCAAAACCCCATAACTCTACCACTGGTTGAAATTTATATGTGTAGAGGCCGGTGGTTTCTTGGGAATTTAGATGCTTGTTTTGGTTTGAGTATGTGAGATAGTCAATTGTAGGGTGCTTGGAAGACATTAGAGGAGCTGCATTGCTTCTCTTTGCTCGTATTCTAAGTTAGTTTATTTTTTTCAAAATTTAACTGGATTTCATCAATGAAACAGAAATTTTGAATTATAAGACAAGAATGATATTATAAAATATTGGTTATGATTAGTTAGCTTTATCTTAGGCTAAGAGCTGAAATAAAACCTATAGTTTATTTTATCTCAACAGTTTTATTTTTTGCTGAACTTTTCCTTTAGAGCCTAAGAAATAATATTTAAGAAGCACTCTCGCATTTAGTTTAGAGAGACTTATAAACTCACCTTGGAGGTATACTGAGATTAATATTTGCTACAAATCAAGAAAATGTCATTTATCTATTTTCACCAAATACTAAAAAGGCAAATAGTTCTAGTAAGAACGGTGGAGGTTTAAGAGGAGTTATTATAAGTTTTTTATGGCATAAGTTAGAAATGATTTAATAATTATGAAGGTTTAACGTCTTTCATAGTTATGTACTTGCATTTTGCAGGGTCTCTTATGAACTTTCTAGGCCCAATGATTATAACTCCCTCATAGTCATAGGACTTCGCAGTTTTTTGCTTTATTTCAGAAACTTGTTTAAGAAGGCTACTGATTTCTCTCTTCAAGAGTCCAGGTTGCTTACTGTCCTTTTCTTTATCAAGAGACTCATTGACACCTCTTTGCTTATAGAATGGGCTTTTCCATGGTTTTATTGGTTTAGGAATAGGAATTCTCTTAAAATTAAAGTCTTTCTGAGAGTTGAAATCTAACGATGCAACTTCCGTTCTCAAATAGCCAAATTTCTTTCTATTGCTAAGAGAATTAAATCCCATGTTAACTAGAATCTTTTTTGAGCTTCTAATCTTGCATGGAGATACGTCTTCACTGAGAAGTTCTTCAGACAGATTTTCATCATATTGTATTGTATTAGCAGAGTTCATATTTAAATAAATTATATAATTATTTATTTTTCTGCTTATATGTACTAACCAGGGGTTTTGGGGTTTTGGGGTTTTGGGG